GCAGCGGATCGAAGGACTCGCGCAGCGCATCGTTGAAGATGCGCTTCACATCCACGGTGCGCAACGCAATCGCGCCTCGCTCCTGCTCGATATCCCGCAGCTTCTCGCTGAGGAACACGAGGTTGCCATCTTTCTCGCCGAGCGGCACATGCACATCGTTCAGCATCTCTTCGACGGCTTTCTTGACCGTGTCGAGCTGCGAAGGTGCCGTGACGGAGGGATGCATCAGGCTGGCGACGTTCTGCACCGAGACTGGCAAGTTGCCGAGGATCTGCAACACGGCGACGGACTTGGCGATGTCCTGATGTAGCTGTGAATCCGGGAAGCGAATCTGCACTTTGCCGACCGCCTGGTGGATGGACGTGAAGGCACGGCGAATGTCCTTTTCCAGTTCGTCGTACAGCGTCACCGTGGTGGCCAGCCAGCCCACGGGCTGATCGGCCATGGCCTTGGAACCGCCTTCACCTTTCAGGACATCCTGAATTACCTTGATCGCAGAGCGTAGACCGATGCCGCCGGTGGACTTTGCGAGCGCGCCGAGTAGGTGCAGCAGGATGTCGAAGTGCGCCGGCAGGAACGGGTAGAGATTGGTGAAACTCTCTTTGCTGAAGTCTGCGTCGTAGTACTTAGCGTCCTGCAGCTTGGTGTTGTGTCGCAGCGCCTGACCATGGGCATCGAAAAGCTTGCCAAGCTCGGTCTCGCCCGCTGGCGATTTACCGAGCAGACGGCGGTAGCAAATCTCTTTGATGTCGCTCGATTCAAGGGCGATCTGAATCGGGAAGCGGTCTTTCAGCTTGTAGAGCTTGTCGGAGTTCAGCGCGGCGCGCGGGTCGTCTTCCGTCAGCGTCTGCTGCGCGGTAGAGATGATCCAGGCCTTGCCGTCGCCCAGCCTCTTGAGGTTCTTCGCCAGGCCATCAAGGTTGAGGATCAGGTTGTCGCGTGAGGCCACGTACTGGCCGACTTCGTCGACGATGAAGATGATGTTCTGCTTACCACTCTTCTCGCGGACGATGTCGATCATCTCTTGCACGCGCTGGTCTTCGAACTGGAAGAAGCCTTCGGTGCTGGACGAGAATGACTTGGCCTCCGGGAAGAGTGCCGGGTACATCTCATGGGCGATTTTCGGGATCAAGCCGTCGATGGCCAGTGGGTTGTTCTGCACGCGAGCCCAGGTGGCACCTGGCAGCGCCTGGGCGATACGCTCATGGAGTTCGGGCGTGCGACCGTCCTTCTCGACCATGCGCTCAAAAGCGGCAACCTTCAGGTTGCGCGAGTAGCCAGCCCACTGCAGTACCTTGAAGTAGAGGACGGTGGAGACGTCTTCCATCGTGGCGCCAGCGAGCATTTCACTGGCGAGGTCCAGCATGACCACTGCAGCCGGGAAGCGCTTCGCTACAGTGCTGAGGAGCGCCTTGGTCTGTGGCTTGTGCAGGCGGTCTTGCAGGTAGTTGATGAACGGCGTGCCGTCGATGGTGCGCTGATCATCAAACGCCAAGCCGAGATACTTGGTGAACGAGCTCTTACCGGAGCCGTAGAAGCCAGAGACCCAGACGCCCACCTCATTTTCGCCACCGGACTCCATCGCAAGCTGCATGCGATCGAGGAGCTTGCGGAACTGCTCCTCAATACTCTCGGTGACCACGTATTCAGAGATCTCAGCCTTGAGGCGGCCTTCTTGCGAGGCGCCATAGGTGATGACCTTTTCGATGGTCCGGTAGATGTCCTTGCTTGGATCGAAGAGTGAGCGAATGGTCATAGGTTTGTCCCAGGGTTCTTTTGTCTGTTCAGCCGCCGACGTGGACGGAGCGGTAATTGCCGTCTTCCGGGTAGAAGCCGAGAAACTTCAGGCGTGTCTTGCCGGTTCGCACGCCGGGGTACAGAAAAATCGTCGGTACGTGAAACTTGCCCTGGAGCTGGCTTTCGATGGCGCCGATGCGCATAAACGGATGCAGTGCCTCAAGATCCGTTACCAACAGCAGCGCGTTCTGCTGGGCTTCGAGCGGCTGCAGGGCATCCTCCAGCCGCTTCAGCAGGCCGTTATCCGCCGTCAGGATGTCCGCCAGCGCCTTGTTGGTACGTGGCCAATCCAAGGGCGCTGACTTGTCCTCCATCACGCACAGCGACCAGAACGGGTCGTCTTTCAGTAGGGCCCAGATCTGTTCAGCGATGGAGAACGTGTGCACGTCCCAGCCTTCCTGGTGCAGCTTGGCCACCCAAGCGGGCGTTTGCCGCTTCACCTCGAGGATCTGCTCTGGTGGGAAGACAAGGTAATAAATCGGCTCGAAGCTCGCATGGCCAAGCTCGCGCCCGTGCCGGATGCGCTCGCGCAACTCGTCGAAATCAGCCTTGAGTGAGGACATCGCAGAGCGCCTCCATGTCTTGTTGTTTCCAGCTGATGCGGATCACGTCGCCAGCAGCCTGGACGATGAGCAAACCCTTCAGCGAGAGTCGTTTGATTTCTTCCAGCACGTCTTCGCGCGCCAAGCCAAATAACTGCCAGTCTTCGTGAGTCAGCAGGGCGTTATCACCGACACAGGAAAAATGCAGTTCGTAGGCCAAGTACGCGGCCACGGCTGGCGAAATACGGAACGGCAGGATGCGACGGCTTGAGCGCAGTCCACGTTCGAGCATTCCGTAGTCGGCGCAGCATCCGGTCAGATAGGCGGAGACACGCCGTACAGTGGTTTCCGACCAGCGCTTGATGGTCTTGCCGTCATCAATGCCGCGCTCGACAAAGGTCCGCGCGTCTTCATTGGTGATCTGTGTGTATCCACCGGCGTATCGAGCCCAGTAAACATGGCGCACGAAGTCGCCAAGGATCGGGTTGGCCCGACTCGTAAAAACGAGCATGAGCTGCGTCAGGTCAGCCGTGGATATCGTTGCGGACAGCCGCTTGAGATGTGCTGCTGGTGCACCACCTGCCACGAGATAGCGTGGAGCGAAGCATTCGACGACGATGTTGCGAAGTCGGCGCGCGGTAACGGTGGGGAATCGACCCGATTCCAGTGCGACCTGATGCAACTGGTTCGCCGACATGCCAGGCGACCACAGGTCGAGCAGCGTCTTGGTTTCGTTGACGAGCCCAAGGCCTGCTTGCAACTGAGTCGTGTAGGGCGTGTTGTCGGCCACGATCACCCCACCAGATACGGATAAGTTTTGGCGTTCTGTGTGAACGCCGATAGATAGGCCGCAGCGATAGCCTTCAGTGTGTCGGTGGAATCGAGATCCTTGATGCCCCCGACCGCCGTTGGACCCACGCTGGAAGTGCCGCCCGTGGCAGCCAATCGCTTCAACGCATCAAGCGCAGCCTCTTTGCTTTGTGGCGCCTGGCTGGCGAGTTCTTCTCCCACGCTACTTTGCACGGTCGCGTGCAGGTCTTGCTCGACCTCTTCGGGCAACCGGAACAGGTGGTAGCTACCCACGCTCAAATGCTCGTCGTGCAATCGTCTGGCTGCTTCCAGCACACCGTGGTACTGAGCGAGGCGAGACGTTTTCGAGAAGACCGGCTCCAGGAAGAGCTTGTTTGATGCCTCATAGAACGCCGTTGGCCACCAGGCGTACTGAGCACGCTCGCCAAGGAAGCCGACAAGCATCCTCATCTGCAGCAATGTCGGTAGGTAGGATTCTTTCATCTCAATTCTCGTCATTCGTTTGTTCTACCGACGCGACCGGCGCCGGCAGTGGTAGCTATTGTTCAGTCACATTCCGCTCCTGCTCGGGCCGCATCCAAGGGTGCATACCCTGGTGCCAGCACGGCGTTCTTGACGCCGTACAAGGCCAAGTGGTCCTTCAGCCATAGTCTGTACTCCGGCCCACGAAGGCTGTGGTCTGCGGTGCAGTCGACGCTCCACTTGCGCAGGATGTAGCCGGCAGTCGCTGCCCGAAGCTTCATCTTCACCATGCCGCCAGTCATGCCGTAATCCATCTCCGCGATCTCGGGACGGGGTTGATTGGGGTGCGGCACCAACTCCAGTTCCACGATCCTGGTCCACTGGATGTCCTGATCACTCATCTCGTGGGGCGCCACTAGCTGCGCCTTAAGCGCCACGGGGCACTTGATCCGGTTAATGACGAAATCCCGGAATTCCTGCGATTTGCGGTCGAAGGCGCGGACGAGCCAGCGCAAGCCGTTGTCGATCAACGCGAACGGGACGATCTCCCGCTCGGTGCGACCACTGGAGATGGAGCAGTACTCAATGCCGAGCGGACACTCCTGGTGGATCGCCCGGGTCACGCTCGCTAGCACGTCCAGATCCGGATGCGCGAGCCGTGACGGGCTCTCGCTCATCACCCATGCCTTGAGCCGCATAGGCTCACCGTCGCCAAAGCCCTGGGTCAACCACGACAGCACCCGCTCCGGAGGGAAGTCGAAGATGGGCTGGAAGTCCGGCCCCAATACGTAGGACTTGACCTTGGAGTCGTAGTCGATGTTGCCCGAGGCCAACTCCTTGTACAGCGCCAAGTCCCTGGATGCGGCGGCGGACTGGATGCCAAACCGCGTGACCAAGTCCTGACGGCGTATCTCCCCGATGAAGCGCACGCGCAATTCCACGAACGCGAGACGATCGCGCTGTGGCTGGGTCAAATCTGTGAAGCGTTCGTTCATCATCCGTGTGCACCCGGAAAGATCGCACATCCGGGTCAGCAATTCCTTGTGGATCCATCGGTGAAAGCCTGCTATCCATCAGCAACTACCCGGACACTAGCATGATGATCGCACAAGGGTTGCATTTTGATAACCATCTTCCTTCGAAGCCCATCTCTACCTGAATAAGCTCGACTAGCGGCCATCAGGCCACAACAGGTATCAAGATTAGCTGCCATAAGCACTGGCATGCGAACGCTTTGACCAGCAAGGCCGATGCGCGCCGCTTATAGGCTCCAAGATGTCCAGAATGGTCCAGCAGCAGCCAGCTTCCCATGGCATACCAGATGGCATACTAGCTAAGCCAGAAATGAAAAAAGCCCTTGAAACTCAAGGGCTTAGTTCAATTATCTGGCGGAGAGGGGGGGATTCGAACCCCCGAGGCGCTATAAACGCCTGCCTGATTTCGAGTCAGGTACATTCAACCACTCTGCCACCTCTCCGGGTGGTCCCCGGCGGACCGGGGACGCGCATCATACGAGGAAGTGAGGCCGACGACAAGTCATTCCGGCAAACGAAGTGAAAATTTCCTGAGCGCATGCCTTGCCGGATGCGTGCAGCCACCCGATGATGCCTGTCTCCCCAGCAACACCCCGCCCCAGCCCCCATGATCGAATTCGGACACCTCACCCACCCCGGCATGCGCCGCGAGCTCAACGAGGACACCTACTACGGTGACAGCGAGCTGGCCCTGTGGCTGGTGGCCGATGGCATGGGCGGGCACGCCTGCGGCGAAGTGGCCAGCGCGCTGGCGCGCGAAACCATCGTGCGCGAAATCCGCCGCGGCGCGCCGCTGGCGCAGGCCATCCGCACCGCGGACGAAGAGATCATCCGCGCCTCGCGCCGTCGCAATGACACACTGCCGATGGGCACCACCGTGGTCGCTGCGCGCGTGCAGGGCAACCGCTATGAAGTGGCGTGGGTCGGCGACAGCCGCGCCTACCTTTGGCGCGACGGCCAACTGGCCCAGCTCAGCCAGGACCACAGCGTGGTGCAGGAACTGGTCGCGCAGGGCAACCTGACCGCCGAACAGGCGCGTGCGCATCCGCATCGCAACGTGGTCACCCAGGCACTGGGCGTGACCGATCCGGCGCATCTGAACGTGGCCACCACCAGTGGTGAGCTGCGCCCCGGCATGCAGCTGCTGCTATGCAGTGACGGCCTCACCGAGGAAGTGGACGACCGCGGCATCGCCCGCACCCTCGCCTTCGAGGATGCCAGCGCACAGGAATGCGTGGACACGCTGGTCGCGGCCGCGCTCGACGGCGGCGGGCGCGACAACATCAGCGTGATCCTGGTGCGCTGCCATTAACCGGTAGATCCACGCCATGCGTGGATACGGCACTGCCGGCCCGCGGCGCGCACCACCCCATCCCGGGCATTACGCGCTGGCGGGTTCTTCCACCTTCGGGCCATCCCACAGCGCGTGGCCAGCCTTTTTGCGCAGCCGCTCCAGTCGCGCGGCATGCGCTTCCAGTTCCGACGGCGTGGCCACCACGCGTGGGCGCGGCAGCAGCTTGCTGGTATCGAAGGCATGCAGCGCCGCACCGGCGCCACCGCCATCGTCATCGCCCAGGCCGAAACCGATTTCCTCCTGGCCCGAGGTCAGCGCGATATAGACATCGCCCAGGATCTGCGCATCGAGCAGGCCGCCATGCAGTGCACGGTGCGAGTTGTCCACGCCCAGCCGCTTGCACAGCGCATCCAGCGAATTGCGCTGGCCCGGGAAGCGCTCGCGCGCCATCACCAGGGTATCGATCACGGTGCAGCGGTCGGTGATCTTCCCGTACTGCGGCCCGAGCAGCGACAGCTCGTTGTCGAGGAAGCCGAGGTCGAACGCCGCGTTGTGGATGATCAGCTCGGCGCCATCGATGAAGGCCAGGAACTCGTCGGCGATCTGCGCGAAGTCCGGCTTGTCATCGAGGAATTCCAGGGTCAGGCCGGTGACTTCCTGCGCGCCCTGTTCGAACTCACAGTCGGGCTTGATGTACTGGTGATAGTTGTTGCCGGTCGGGCGGCGCTTGAACAGCTCCACGCAGCCGATTTCGACGATGCGGTTGCCCTTCTTCCACTCCAGGCCGGTGGTTTCGGTATCGAGGATGATCTGACGCATGGGCTCAGTTTACCGGGCTGGCGTCGCGGATCTGGATCGCCGCGTTGCGGGCCAGGGTGTCCACCCGCTCATTGTCCGGATCGCCGGAGTGGCCTTTCACCCACCGCCAGTCGATCTGATGCCGCAGCGTGGCCGCCTGCAGGCGCTCCCACAGCTCACGGTTCTTCACCGGATCGCCGCCGGCGGTCTTCCAGTTCTTGCGGATCCAGCCCGGCATCCACTGGGTCAGGCCCTGCCGCACGTACTGCGAATCGGTATAGAGCACGATGTTGCACGGCTCGGTCAGCGACTCCAGCCCGGAAATGGCCGCCATCAGTTCCATCCGGTTGTTGGTGGTGTGGGCCTCGCCACCGCTCAGTTCGCGCTCGTGGCCCTTGTAGCGCAGCAGCGCAGCCCAGCCGCCGGGGCCGGGATTGCCAAGGCAGGAACCGTCGGTGTGGATTTCGATGGTTTTCAATACAACTCCAGAATCAGGTAGCTACGGTGCCGTGCCAGCGCACCGGCAGCGGTTTCGGCCCAGGCAGGGCCAGCGTGCGTTTTTCCGCATGGAACAGGCAGGCCGCGCGCAGCGGCGCCCAGCCTGCGGGGCGGGGACTGCCCTCGCCGCGCCAGAGCGGGCCCAGGTAACGCATATCGTCGCACTCCAGCCCATGACGGCTGAGCAGCAGGCGGATCCGCTGCGGCGTGCGCACCACCAGCCCATGCTGGCGCCAGCGCGTGCGATACGGGCTGAACGGATTGAGGCTGCTCAGCCACAGATGGCCGCCCGGCATCAGAACGCGTTCGCACTCGTCGAGGAGCCGGTCAGCATCGGTCGCGGTGACATGCTGCAGCACGATCGCATTGACGCTTTCATTGGCCAGCGGCAATGGCAGCGCACAACGGGTGTCGCCGGCATAGCCCTGCCCCTGCCGGAACAGGCGCAGACCGCGCCCGCCCAGCTGTGCATCGTCCAGCCAGGCCGCACTTGGTGCGATCCACAGCCAGGGCTGCGCCGGCAGCGCCGACAGCTGCGGCAGCAGCAATTGCCGCTCCAGCACGCGCAAGGCCTCCGCCGGTTCAGTGTCGAACCACGGGGTCTGGCTCGCTTGACGGGTGCTCTGCAGCGCGGGCATGGTCCAATTCTATGCGACTGACTGCCCTGCCCGCATTTGCGGATAACTACATCTGGACGCTGATCGACAACGATGGCGCCGCCGTGGTCGTTGACCCCGGTGACGCCGCGCCGGTGCTCGCGCTGGCCGATCAGGGCCTGCACGTGGACACGATCCTGCTTACCCATCACCACGACGACCACATCGGTGGCGTGCCGGCATTGCAGGCACGTTTCCCCGGCGTGCGGGTTGTCGCGCCGGTCGAAGAACGCATTCCCACCGCAACCGAGCGGGTCGGCGAAGGTGAACGCGTTCAGGCACTGGGCCAGACGTTCCACGTACTATCCGTGCCCGGGCATACCCGCAGCCACATCGCGTTTCACACTGCTGAACATCTTTTCAGCGGAGATTCGTTGTTCAGCCTGGGCTGTGGACGCCTGTTCGAAGGTACGCCGTCCCAGCTGCTGGCATCGATGCGCAAGCTGGGCGCCCTGCCCGCGCAACTGCTGCTTTGTTGCGCTCATGAGTACACCGTGTCAAATGCCGTCTTCGCGCGGCATGTCGACCCCGCCAACGCTGCCTTGTGGCAGCGCCAAGAGGAGGCTTTGGCCATGCGCCGCGATGACCGTTCCACCCTGCCGGTAACCCTGGCCAACGAATTCGACTGCAATCCCTTCCTGCGTGTGCACGCGGCGCCTATCCGTGCGTCGGTGTCGGCACACCTGGGCCGTGACGTCGTGGACGACGTCGACGTGATGGCCGGTCTCCGGCACTGGAAAGACGGCTTCCGCGCATGATGCGCCGAAGTCTGCCGCTGGCCCTGGGCCTTGTCCTGGGGTTGGCCGGAACCGCGGGCGCGCAGTCGCTGGGCGCTGGCATCAGCCAGAACCTGACCGCCGCTGCGGCCCTGCCGCTGGACGCTTCAGCGCTGCCCGCCGCTTCGGTGCGCAACGGCCAGGAGATCTTCACCAGCTTCCGCGACGGCCTGGCCGAGCCCAGCTGCGATGCCGAGGCCACCAGCCCCCGCTGGCAGAAGCAGTTCGCCCACGCCCCCTCGCGCCTGGCCAACCAGGATGACGATGCGCTGGTGCTGTTCGGCTATGTGGTCGAAGAGCTGCGCAAGGCCAACCTGCCCACCGAATTCGCGCTCATTCCCTTCGTGGAAAGCGGCTATCGGCCCAATGCCCGCAACGGCAGCGGCCCGACCGGCCTGTGGCAGTTCATCGCCACCACCGCACGCAACCATCGCGTACCGATGGCCAACGGCTACGACGGCCGCCTGTCGGCGGTTGATTCGACCCAGGCCGCGGTGCGCTACCTGAAGACCCTGCACGGCATGTTCGGCGGCGACTGGCGCCTGGCCACCATGGCCTACAACGCCGGCGAGTACCGGGTGCTGCAGTCCATGCGCAAGGCCGGCATGAACGCGCAGAACGCCAAGCCTTCGGCATTGCCGGGCCTGTCGCCGGTCACCCATGCCTACGTCGAGAAGCTGCACGCCCTGGCCTGCGTGCTGGAAGACGTGGAAGACCAGCCGGGCGTGATGGCCTCGCTGGACCGCACCGTGCCGGTGCTGAAGGACCACACCCTGCCCGCGGGCACCAGCGTCCAGCAGTGGGCCGCACAGCGCGCCCTGGACCCGGCGAAGATCGCCCGCCTGAACCCCGCGCTGGCCTCGGGTGGCCGCGCCTCCGGCACCACCCGCGTGCTGGCCCCTGTCTCGGCTGCCAATGCGACGGTGGCGGACACTGCATCTGCCCTGGTCGCCAGCGCTGCGCCAGTCGCCACCGCGTCACCGACGCCACAGGTGGCCAAGACCGTCGCCGCGATCGCCGACCGTCCGCGCAGCCGCCGCCACACCGTGCGTGATGGCGAATCGGCCTGGACCATTGCCCGCCGCTACGGCATGCCGGTAAAGGCGCTGCTATCGCTGAACGGTCTGAGTGGCAGCAGCGTGCTGAAGCCGGGCGCGGTACTGCGCGTCGAAGACTGACGCGCAGGCCAGGCGCCTCCCGTGTAGAGCCGAGCCCATGCTCGGCTTTTTCATGTCTGTGCCTGGCAGATGCAGTCGAGCACGGCTCGACTCTACAAAAGGCGGTCGAGCAAGCTCGACCACTACCAAAGCTCAAGCGCGCCACAAACGAGGCGAAGGCACAAAAAAGGCCCGGCATTGCCGGGCCTTTTCGTACCTGCAGCCGGTGGGCTTACAGGTTCGCTTCGGTGGTCTGGACCACGA